ACTGATATATTGCCAGTTACACACACAAATATACGTATATACCCAAATAGATATAAAGTAGCAGTAGAGCTCCTTGTGAAAGAGTTCGTCCAGAGAAGTACTGCCACCTTACCTATTTTTGCCGCCAAGCAGTAATGTGACCATTACTGCGTTCCGGTTTTGAAGGGTTTTGTTTGAAATTACAGGCACATGGGACTTGTCAATTTATGTCTCAGGGTGACGAGCGCAATTGCAGGCTCAGGTCTTTACGGTTCGAATCTCTGAGTGGCACTGCAACTGTCATGGACAGGTGTGTAGCTTACCACCAGGCACACCACTTGCTCATCCCGTCACTTGATATTATGAAAAAAAAAGATAAAAACGCAACGAGACTACCGCCGACAATTTAACGAAAACGATAAAGCTTGTATTACATTGAATTAATACATATTTTGTAAAAAAATTTATTTACAATAAATCTGGAAAAGAAAATGGTACGGCTAAGTCCGCAATGCATGTGCTTAGACTGCCCGAGGAGTATCTCGAGCAGTGACTTTGTAAATGGCCTCTTGTCACGCCTCGCTAAGATCGAATATCAGCTTGATTGGTCGGTATACGAGGCAGTGTCAACACTGCTAAATTAGCTCTCGGCAGTGTCAAATTGTGTAATTTATTTGTGTAATATCCCAATTTAGTCTTAGGCTACTTGTTAATGCGACATAAGAGTCACACCTGATCTTATTTGAAAAATGTTGGATGAATTACCATTGATCAATATACCATAACCATAACCGCCCAGTTTTACCCGAGGCAAAGTTTTCGGGCGGGCGCCGCGCGGCGGCAATTACTACGCCTTCATGTACATTAATGACAAATCTGAATTAAATTTACTAGGCAACAACATTTAAATTCCTCTGAATAATACAACCGCACATTCGCAGAGCAGCCGCCGCGTGGACCAAATTCAAGCCAGACTCGCCCGCGTGCCCGGGACGCTCATTTAAGTTAAAACGTAAAAGCTAAATGAATAGAGCGTATTTTATCATGATAGTTAGACGCACGCGGCAACGCGGACTCCGCTCGGCGAGCGTGGGTGAGCGCTGTCGGGACATACGGAAGCACTGTTTGAAATAATTGTGCTATGTATTTTATTGGATATCATAATGTTTTATTTTATGATATTCAATTATTTTTGTGATATTACTACACTAATTTAAGATCGAACACAGAGGAAAATTCATTCGATCCTCTTGGATTCGAACCAGCATCTTCAGCATGCCAGGCCAACGCTCTCCCAACTAAGCTACGGAACGAACCAGCAGACCCAACGAATTTCTCTATGTGTTAGTTGCAGATCATTGTTTCTGGGTTTCAACGACTTTTTTGCCGTAGTGCCATCTGTGAGAAATCTATGTAAGTTATGGTTCATTAAGTAGCTTAGTTGAGAGCGTCGGCCTAGTATGCTGAAGACACTGGTTTGAATCCAGCCGGATTACTACCATGATATTGGGGTGCACAAAAGGAACCTCTGCGCATGATGTACGTCTTTCTTGTACATCTGGCGCACCCTGGGTAACAATCTGCGAGTACAGTACGCCAATTGGAAAATCCTTTCGCTACGAAGGCACTGCATATTGTATGCCATCGATACGATAAAAAGAAAACAATGATATACACATATATTTTTTAGTTGACGTAAAAAAAAGGAGGAGGTTCTCAAGTGAACTGTTTTTTTTTATGTCAGAAAGAGGGTATCTCGCTATTGGTTCCATTTAAATTTGAAGAAAACATTCTACAAACTAGGGGATGAATCCGGTTTCGCGCACTTTCCGGTAACCGATTTCAATGAAACTTGGCAAATAGATGTAATTCCTCGAACTTTTCAGGTCGGTTTTTTTTATAAAAAAGTTATTATGAAAATACTCCTCTAGTTTGTTGTTAATTGATACAAACATCGAACAAACACAAATAAAATTGTTTCCCTTTGGCTGAACTCACCACCGCTATCTATTTTTTCGCTAAACCAGCTCGCTCTCCCAACTGAGCTACGGAACGAGTTAGCCGATCTTACGAATTTCTTATTGCGCTCGTTGCAGACTTTTTTGCCGTCGTGTCACGTGTGAGAAGCACAAAAATTATACTATCTAATTTGAAGAATGAATGACGAAATTATCTTTTTACACTACGCTGTTGGCGCCCAGCTGTGACGCAGTCTCCTTTGTAATTATCCTTTTTTTTACATTCATTCGTTCCTTTTATGAAGTTTCCTATTGTCTCCAAATTTTAGCAGTTTCTTTTTCGTCGCTGTCTGATTCAGTTTATTTTCAATATTGTCCATTCTATCGATTTCATTAAACGTGTTTAATTTGCCAAAGTGTTTCCATTATAGAGCACATCTCTATATACAGTCCACTGGCCAATAAGACGTTACGAAATAGCGTGTTCGTTTTCAGGATAATAATAAAATTTACTTAATTATGTACACGCAATGAAAAATAACGTTAATTGAAAACACAGCACGAAGCTATAACACAAAACTGACTAAGTGGAATTCGGTGTTTTTAGTAAACAGATTTACGGCGACTGTTGTTTTACGGCGCTTCAATGGTTGTTTCTCACTTAGTGGTACAATTTGCCGTTGTAAATTTCGTTTATTTTAGTCCAAGATAAAAAGATGTATTCTTTATGATAATAAAGATAAAAATAGTATTATCTTATCAAAACTGTGGCATATGTAATTTTTTTCTCGCTGGTGAAATCGAATCCACAAGTATGCAATGTCATTTATTAAGTTTCAAAACTTTTTTATGATACCATGTGGCAAGACGAGCAAGTCGTGCACCTGGTGGTAAGCGACACGCCTGTCCATAGAGGGGCACTGCTACCGCGTCTGTCATCATAAGACATAACTTAACAAGTACTATATGCCTGTAATTTCTTAAATTATTAATAAATTAAATTGTTATTTAAATGCTGACATTACTGCTTGGCAGCAGAAATAGGTTATGTTGCAGTATTCTCCTGGACGAAATCTTTCACAAGGAGCTCTACTGTTACTCAAGAACTGTTCCTCTTAAAAGAACCCCTAGTATTAGTGACGTAATGGCATGCGATTAACCCTTGAAATTGGGATAGTCTGATATCATTAGTCTTATCGTACGTAGTATGTTAGTTTCAAAATTTTGCTACATTTAACATCATAAAATGAAATTTAATACGTATAAAAGTCGTGACTTGCGGAAACTCTTAGAATACTTTAAAATTCTAAATCGTCGCTCGGGGAACGTCTTGAAGAGTTGAAATTTTAATTTTAAATAAGGGAATAATAGTTCAATCCATCTACTCACGATCGCGAAAGTAAATCGAAAAAAATATACTACTTATTTTACCATTATTGATTTAGAATTAGTTTTTTAGGCAAATCAAAAAAAATATTTTAATTTATACGACAACATCAACCCATTTATGCGTCTCAGAGTTGGACACGGGTCTCCTCTCAGGCGATGGTTTAGACCATCATAGTCGATTACGCCGCTAGTTTGTATTCTGAAGCAAAGCCATAAATAAATAAATAAACATCAACCACTTATTCATCCTACACATAATCCAATACCGCCTAAGTATAATAAGATCATAGGTAACGGCTTAGTGGCCCAGTAACGATACTCACCATCATCATCAAACCATTTATACTTGCCACTGCTGGGCACGGAGACTTCCTCTCAATCGAGGGTTTAGGCCATAATCCTTCTTCGACGTGCAGGATTCATCACGATATTTTTCTTCACCGAAAAAAAATAAAAAAAAAAATAGAAAAAAAAATAAATTAAAAATAAATAAAGCGCACACTCATAGCCTCTCACTGAGGAAATTCTGTGTCACGAATGCCACGGACACACATAAAATACCACAAATTAACGAGAGAGTAAAATGTAGGCCATACAAATATTTCGCCCGACCCGAGAATCCTGGGCTTCAGGGTGGCCTGGTAACTGTTCCACCGCGCAGGCAGCTAATGTTACAGTTACCTATTTATTAAACTTTAGAGCTCTATTATAAATGACAATGTGTTGGTGTAGACATAAACCGTCTTTTGTAAAAGAATCCTTACTCATTACTCAACCAGATTATTTTAAGATGAACATCGTGATCCCCGAAAACGGGTGCGAAATGCGTGCAGAGGGAATGGAATAATAAATTGCAGACACAAAGAGATTACTATTTGTATTATCTACACTGTAAAGCTGAAGAATATTGATAAAACTAAGGAGGCTCAATACCAAAACGTAAGATGAGAAAAGGTATTAGAATGTAAAGATAAAGATTTATTGTACTCTTAAACCGAATTCAAAAAAAAAGGAGGAGGTCCCAAAATAAGATTGTATTTTTTTTTGTGTGTATGTTACGCGTTTACTCCGACATTTGTGAACCTGTTTCTATGATTCTTTTCTGTAAATATTCCACTCTAAGGATGGTAAATTAGGGAATGTACCCGGATTGAATTTCACCCACTCTTCGTTAACCAATTTCAATAAAATTTAGCAAATATATTTAATTCCACAAACTTTTGACGTAAGTTTTTTTTTTATAAAAAATTTTTTAATGATAAATTAGGTAGATCAATCTAGATTATGGAAAATAATAAAGTTTTCGAGTATTAGTATTGAGTAAACACTTCTTTAATAAAAAATAGCTTATATTTAACATTTTACTGTAACATCGAGTTTTATTGACTAATTTCAAGTTCTTTTTTCTTTATCTACCAAATCCCGAAACATAATAACTATTTTTTTAGTAAAAATATCAAAGTCCGGACAGATAAATCATTACCCAATTAACGCAAACGATTTCGCTTGTCAAAGGTGGGTCATAAATTAATATAATTAATTTTACCAATCCTAACAATTTCCATCGCTCCATCAACGCACGAGATTTTCCATCGAGAGCAGGCCTCGAATTTAGGGTTCAGAAAAAAGGTGGCATCCTCTGACGCACTCTGCGGCAAACCAGTACACGCCCTACTGCCGTCGGGACCGGTCGCGTCAACCCACTGGCTGAGATACCCTAATCGCGAGCTTATCCTGTTCCATAAATAACATGAAATAACTAAGTTTATTTTTCTATGTGAATTTCCACTGTGCCACTTACTTTTTCGAAGTTTTTAATTTTTTTAAATATTTTTGCTACTTTCCAAGTTTGCGTTTTTGCAAGTTTGTTATAGGTTTTTTGACTACTGTTTTCTCATTTCAAAGGTATTTATTTAGTAAATAATATTCTTTATATCCATTTACTAAAATTATAACGTAAATATTTACCAAATTATTATCTCGGTCTTACATAAAAGGTATAATTAAGTAGCATTAATAATGTATCAAAAATATCATGATTCATTACGGTCAAGATAATTATACTTTCGCACTTAATAAAAGAGTTTTTATTTAATAATATTATTGGCATATATTTACGTACGGTATCGTGTTCTTATTCTACGCTTTTTCGTATGAAAATAACTTTTACATTTGTTAGTAATATATTTCTTTCTCCATATGAATCTTTATTACGTGAATAAATTATTCAAAACATTATCAATTATTTACATGAAACAGACAAATATCTACAATAGCACATAAAAGAATATATTCTCACATATTCCGTTAAAATTGTAGCTTCTAATAAAAGATTACACACATTGAATTCACACATACACGCATAGGAAGAGTTAAATAAAATTCCTCACAAAAGGTTCTCTCGTTCATAACAGGAGATACGCTATTACGTCATTGCTCTTAATCCTAAACGATTTCGTGTGCCGAAAAACTTACTACACAAGTCGTGCGAACACATAAATATTAGCGCAGGGCATTTGAGATTTCTAATGTTGCTTGTTCTACTTGTCCAAAATCCGTATCGATTTATTGCACAACAACATCGGGCTAATCTCTAACTGCCTAATTGAGAGAGGCTTGACCTCCATGAATAAGGTCTGTGTTTGAAGTTTTTTGAATTACCTCTAGTTAAGATAGGCAATTAATCACTTAAATGCAGCGTAGCGGACTGAATGTATATCGGTTGCCAGCGATGAGTGAGCAAAACCAGAAAATAGTACTTACCGGTCGAGTTCTTAGATTTGCGGGATTGCTACACACAATTCGCAAAAATATAAGGTATTCAATTAATAACTTTTGAAACTGTAGTGAAAAATAGGGTACTTTACATTAGGTGTAGCTGGTTGACAACTTTGCCATCTCAGTCTGCCGTGATCATGAGACCTGTAACAAGCTCGAATCGTTAGTTTCTTTGAAAAAGCAAATACACACGATTTAGATCCAAAAAAATAGTTTAATTACGAGTTTATTAAACGAATTACACAACATTATAGTAGCAGTAGTTTCTTGTGAAAGAGTATCTTCACGGAGGTACTGCCATCTTAACTATTTCTGCCGCCAAGCAGTAACGCGAGCATTACTCTTTTGGTTTTAAAGAGTGCTTGTAAGGTTAGGGTGGTGATGAAATTACAGGCATATGGATCTTGTCAATTTGGCTCAGGGTACCAGGCGAGGTAGCAGTACCCCTCAGATCTCTGCGATTTGAAGCTCTCAGTGGCACTACAGCTGCTATGGACAGGGGTGTGTCGCTTACCACCAGGCGCACGACTCGTTCGTCCTGTCACTTGGTATCATAAAATACTAAACAGTCACCTAGTAGTACCAGCTTTCTTGTTTTTCTTTTTCTTTTACTTTTCTTTTTTCATACTTGCGCGAGTAAAAATTTACAGTTAAATATTTTCCCCTAAAAAACATGTTCTTCGATCTCAGTTATCGTAGGTTCGTAATTCAAAATTCGGGTTTTGTCACAACCTGTAGAATTGTGTTCCTTATGCTAGTTTCAAAGTTCACATACATCGATTTAGGAACAATCGAGAGTAGAGTAGTAAAGTAATTTCGAGTGTAGAGCGTGGAATTCGAGTGACTGCCAAGAAAGCTTCACTCACTGCGCTACGATAAAACTATGAAGGAAATCGCAACCAGAAAACATTGATAAACAAACAAAAATGGCGCCATAAATTTGTAAACTATAAATTTAGAAATATAATATAAATATTAAAAAAGTGCTAGATACAAATATGGTACAACATTTTAGCAGGGACGTCGAAATTACTTGCATACGGTAAAGAAAAAATAGAACGAAATTTTTTTATAAAACTAGAAATTAAAAATCGTAGAGAGCAGTCAACAAATGTTTATAATAGTTAGCCTATATATAGTCCCACTACTGGGCACAGGCGTCCTCGCACAATGAGAGAGCTTGGGACAGCCCAAGTTTCCACTTCACACATATTATTAAATTGTTTTGCAAGGTGTGCAAGTTTCCTCACGTAGTTTTCTTTCACTGAAAGAATCACGGTAATTTCAAATTAAATTTCGCAAATAAATTCCATAAAACTCAGGGGTGCAAGCCCTGATTCAAACCCACGACCCTATACTTGAGAGGCGGTAGGTCAAACCATTAATCTACTAGGGCTGTCAAAAAAATGTATACGACGTATGTTATACGAGTATAAAAATTACTTCGAAATAAATATTTTAAACGGTTACTATTTAATCACTGCTTCAAAATATTTAATAACGTATTAAACGTTATTAAATATTTATCTAAGATTATTTAGTTTTTCTTTTTCACCTTCGTGAATAATTTCCCACTATTTTAACCGACTTAAAAAAGGAGGAGGTTGTAAATTCGATTGTATTTTTTTATTTGTATGTACGTTACACGATAACTTTATGAACCGATTTTGATGATTTTTTTTGTTGGAAAGAGGGTACCTCAGTATTGGTTTCATTTGATTTTAAGAAAATATTCCTCCTCCAACGGTAGCAAACTAGGGGATCAATCCGGTTTCGCGCACTTTCCGGTAACCGATGTCAAAAAATTTGGCAAATAGGTGTAATTCCACGAACTCTTGAGGTAGGTTTCTTTTATAAAAAAAGTGATTTTATATTTTTTTTAAATCCCTCAATATTACTTCCAATTTTTTTCTGATTTTGGTGTCCAAGCTGTCTTTCGACGAGTTGATTACACATTTACTCTAACCCACATTCATTTCAACATTTCGTATAAATTGTTTTTGGCTTAAAACGTCAGTTTTCCCAACGCAGCTTTACGTAGTCATAAAATGGTCTGATGTTATTCCACCGCGTTTCCCGTACACATGAGACTCGACTTCATACATTCAAATATGACCTGGTTTTAAATTTTATGACCAAGTGTGACTTGGTTACAAAATGTATAGTATGTATTACTTTTTAATTTTCAACTAAAAACTTGCAACATATTTAAATATAACATTTTGATAGTTATGTTTTATATAGAACTGTAATTTCACCAGGCACCCTCACCCTCCAAAACCGGAACGCAGTAATATTCACATGACTGCTCGGCGGCAGAAACATGTAAGGCGGCAATAGTACTAAGCTACATTTAAATGCAACACACACAAAATACATAATGTCCGCTGGTTCGTTCCGTGGCTTAGTTGGTATAGCGTCTGACACGGTTTGCTAGAAGACGCTGGTTCGGATTCAGCCGGATCAAAAGAGATTTTTCTAAGTGTTCAATTTTTGTATTAATAATAACAAACTAATAGAGTCATTTCACAAAAAAGTAATATCTTCATAGTGAATCCTAACATTTAAGAAACTTAATTACATCCAATCACTTGCCAACTTTTGCTTCGAAAGTAACCAAAGCTTGCATTTTCTTTTGAAAGTGCAAGACTACTTTGTAATAGTCTAGTGTATCATTGTAAGGTAAATTTATTTACCAAATATTATTTACGAGTATTATGCATTATAATAAGCCGTGGTAGTCTAATGGCTTGACCTACAAAGTCAAAAATGATTTATTCACCAAAACAATACAGTTCATTGCCTATAGGTAAGTCAAATTAAGAAAATACAGACTTAAATTATACAGATATACGTACAGTAAAGACTTAATATCATGATTTTGTAAGAAAATGAATATTCACTTTTCGTTAATTTTATAAAAAGCCTGATTTTCAAAGTAAAGTTTTAATGTTTGCTTAAATGTAGCCATTTCCAAGTCAGATACACTAACTGGTTGTTTATTGTACATATAAATTTTCATATTTACGCCCTGTTTTAACGTTTTTACTTATCTGGTTTTATTTGTTACTAGTTAATGTTTACTTCTCGTGTTATATGTATGTATGTCTGATATCTTCGCCATATATTTTTTTGTTTCATGTATCTCTAATAATGATCTGTATATATACAATGAAATTACAGTCATTATTCTATATTTAACAAAGTACTCTCCACTAGATACACGTTTGTGAATACCTTCGATAATTCGTATTGCTCGCTTTTGCAAGACTAACACTATCTCAATATCAGATGAATTACTCCATAAAGTTAAAGCCTACCTACTCTCTAGCAGAGGCCCTGTGTTCATCACATTTTTATGTTTTCATAATTTACAAGCGAAATTTTAATTGGCAATTTACCATGAGCTTTTCGGATAAGTCTCACAACAATCGGAAAACGTATCAATTCTCCAACCTGGCAGTGGCAGACTACGGCCTAAACCCTCGCCTGAGAGAAGACCCGTACCCAGCAGTGGGATATATAAATGGGTTGATGATGATTATTATTTTTTTGAGACGAGTCAAATAAGTATCAAGTAAGTATTGAACCCTTTAAATACTTAACTGACCATACGTGTTAAAAAAGTGTTTGTTTCGTATGTATTTTCTACGTATATCATATTATACGTATGTTTCGTACTCATACATATACTCAATACAAAAGAAAAACATTACCCATATGTGTTACGAAGTCAAAATACAGGGACGGGCTCAACGTCCTATCCAAATACCCAACTGGAACTGTACCCCAAAATCGCAAACGACACAAAACTAATATCAACTAATGGTGAGACAAAACCAGAAATCAATATGGTGTGGCAGATGTTTACAATAGCTCGATTTCAGTAAGTACCACCTCCATTAAATAGGGGGGAAAAATCTGGGGATGACAAGATGAGGAGAATATAACATGAGATACTTTCGTGAAAGGTTGAGTTTTTTCTAAGTGTTACATTACAGCCCCTCTATCGAGGCAGAAAGTAGAACTATAAATTTAATAGCAGTAGAGTGTCTTGTGAATGAGTCCGTTCAGGGAAGCACTGTAACTGTCACCTTACGTATGGCACCGCGGAAACGTGTCTTGTT